TCTGGGAGGCTGAGGCGGGCGGATTGTTTGAGCTCAGGAGTTCGAAACCAGACTGAGCAAGAGCGAGATCCCGTCTCTACTAAAAATAGAGAGAAATTAATTGGACAACTAAAAACATACAGAGAAATTATCCGGGCATGGTGGTGCATGTCTATAGTCCCAGCTACAGGCTGAGGCAGAAGGATCGCTTGAGCCCAGGAGTCTGAGGTTGCTGTGAGCTAGGCTGATGCCATGGCACTCACTCTAGCCCAGGCAAGAGTGAGACTCTGTCTCAAAAAAAAAAAGAAATTGTTTTCAATTTAATAGTTAATATGCAAGTGAAAAGTTGGTGGTATCTTCATAAAACTGAAATAAAAACTTTTTCAAATACTGAAGAGTGATCTGGTTTCTAATGTTAAGTAGTGAAACTCTTTCACCACCACCACCACCAGTATTACTAAAAGCTCCACAGAAGGGGAGGAAAGGACAATACAGTGCTGCAGTCAAACGAGAGGTGCCAAAGAATTGTTTACCTTCCGATTTTGGTCGTAAGCAGAATCAATCCCCAAAATGCTATTCACTTCTACATATGGATATTTCTTCTCCAGGACACTGACCACATGTTCAACTTTCACTTTTTCTCCGGTTCTCACCTTGTTATAGATCTAAAGAAAGAAAAACCATGTAACCAACTACGTTTTAAGTTCAAATTTCAAAGTGTTCATTACAAAATACTTCTGAGTGTAGAGGAAAACACGACTATTTTTCTTAAAAGGTCAAATTGGGACATGTTAGCAATTTTCCTTTTTCCATATACCTTATTAAGATGACTCCTTAGGTTAGAAACTAAATATTCTTAAAAAGACTTAATCAGTTCATGGTCATGGTAAGCCCCAAATACAAAAATATATTAGGAAAAATCTGAATAGGCCGGGCGCAGTGACTCAACCTGTAATCCTAGCACTCTGGGAGGCTGAGGAGGGAGGATTGCTTGAGCTCAGGAATTGGAGACCAGCCTGAGCAAGAGTAAGACGCCGTCTCTACTAAAAATAGAAAAAATTAGCCAGGCATGGTGGCGAATGCCTGTAGTGCCAGTTACTCGGGAGTCTGAGGCAGAAGGATTGCTTAAGCCCAGGAGTTTGAGGTTGCTGTGAGCTAGGCTGACACCACAGCACTCTAGCCTGGGTGACGGAGCAAGACTCTGTCTCAAAAAAAAAAAAAAAAAAAAAGAAAAGAAAAAGAAACATCTGAATACTTATAAGTAATCCCTGAAATAAAAACTCACATCCATGATGTTTGGGGGGAGGGAAAGTTGCAAAATATGTATGACATAATCTGCTTTTTAAAAACGAACCAAAAACAAATAAACAAAACTGTATCTATACAAACATGGTTAAGTATCTAGAAGGATACAAGGCAGCCTTTTAATGGTGCCTACCTTTAAGGACAATTAGGGAAGAGAGAGGGCGAGACAGAGAAATTTTAAATTAACATTACTTCAATTTTTTTATAGTGAACATGTATGACTTTTGCAATGAAAAATAAATAAAAAGAAAGGAAAACTCATATTTTCCTTTCCTTCATACACGTATCTATGGGAGGAGGGGAAACTTTAAAAAGTAGGCTTTAAAATACTTATTATTCTGAGTGATTTCTTTTCAACCTATTTCATTCTCCATAGCCCTGTTGATAACTACCTTCCCCATGATGTCTCAAGAAGATCACAGCAACAGCTCATCAACTAGTAATCCTGCCACTCTCTTTGCCCTTCCTCAGATCCATCTCCATACACTGCAGCAGAATGAGTTTTAAATGCAAGACCGATCCCTGAGCTCTGGATACCCCAGCTGCCTAGGTTACCATGGCCTCAAGGACTCGGCTCCCCCAATTCCACCTTGCTCTCACAATCCTCTTCTCAAGCCACACTAACAACCTGGAATCACTACCTCTGATTTGTAGCCGTGTCCCATGACTCCCATGCTTCTGCCTACATCCAGGTGGGACAACTTTCCATTCCACAAAAATGCCTGTGACCATCCCCCCAGGAGGGGTGAGGTCCTTGGGCAACCACAGATAATCGTGCTTTCCACACTGTATGACATCATCTGTTTGAATGTGTCCTCCCACTAGGTTGTAAGGTTTTTGTGGATAGGGACGAGGCTTACTATTCTTTGTGACCTTCCCCCACACACACAAAGCTAGTACCAGACCTGGCACATGGTGGGCCTTCAGTAAATGTTAGCCAAATAAATAAATGAACATTCTCACTAACAAAAAATGCTCCAAATGAATCTCTCGACAATAAATATAACATACATAATAAATAGCAGAATAACATCATGTTTAGCGGTAAAAGTGGTTAAAATCAATTACTTTAAACATGATTTTTTAAAATACTTGCCATTAATCTATAAACTGTCACTTGTAAAGCTGTTTATACTCAGAAAGAAAAAAAGACAACAAGGTGAATTCTTCGAACTTGAGCAAGTAAATGCCTTAAATATATACATAAATCATGGCATTTCAAAGTTACCAGTAAAAATGGAAAAACCAGACTGTTAGTAAGAATTTTATGATTGGAATATTAAACTAAATGCTAATCAAAAAATCATATGATAGCCTGGTCCCTCCCCTCCCCTCCCTTTCTCAAAAAAAAAAAAAATCATACAATAGTCTCAAAGGAAAAAAAGACTGTTTTTGAACAAGTAGAGAACATCACATTTGCCAAAAGGCATTAACTAGTGATTTCAAATTACCAAAGGGCAGAAGATTAAGATACACTAGGTCCTCCTAAGGAATCTTAGCAGAAATTGCAGCAATCTATTATTAACATTAGTGAATCAATAAAGTAAAGGCAAACCCTAAAATATAATACACAGTTTGTGCAAATAATTTACTCACTTTGTCTTTTTACAGAAATATAGAATCCCCTTAACATATATATAGTTTTCTAGAGTAAGTTAGATTTAAAAAATTATTTGCCATTTTGAACACAAACATACATGCGTCAGAACTTGGAAGGCATGATAATCATCCACTTCTTGGGCAACATAATTATACGCTCTAAGAACAGCCACTCCAGCATCTTGCATCCCATCAACATCTTCAGAGTCATTAACCACAAAGATAAAACCAATTCTGGAGGAGAAGAGGAAAGAAAAAAAAAGAAACATCTCAAAGAATGCACCCAGTTAAAAGAAATGGTATCCTTATACCTGCCTTGTATATTGTAGCTAATAGGAAAAAACTATCCTTAAGTGAAAAGCACAGTTCACATCCTACTCTAACATGGTTGTTACATACATCACAAAATAAAAAAGTAGGTTCTCAAACCTGGCTTAGACTTTTCCACTGTTAAAGCAAGCCATTTCTACATCATGAAAAGATTCCTTTACTAACATGAAGAGTGCTGCTACAGTTTTACGAGAAGATTTTGTTTTTTTTAAACAAAAATTAGGAGAAATAAGAATTTTCAGACTATAAAACAGAAAAGGGGGGATTTTGAGATTTAACACAGGCAATATGAGAATCACAGGTAAAAGAAAAGCAAAAAAAAAATATTTATAATTGTCCTACAACAAAAAGCTATAACCAAGGATAAAGTTTATTAACTTTTAAAATTTAAAATAAAGGAATATACCACAAAGAGATACTATTATACATCTACAGATTGGAGGCAAAAAAAGTCTTACAAAAGCAATTCAATGGACAAAGAATAGTCTTTTCAATAAATGGTGCTGGAATAGCCAGACATCCACAAGCAAAATAATAAATCTAGATACAGACCTTATACCCTTCACAAAAATTAACTAAAAGTGGATCACAGACTGAAATGCGAAACACAAAACTATAAAATTCCAAAGAAAACAGAAAAGAAAACTTAGGTTATGTTGGGTTTGGCAATGACATGTTAGACCTGAAAGCATGATCCATGAAAGACAAAACTGGTAAGTTGGGCTTCATTAAAATTGAAAATGTCTGCCCTGTAAAGGACACTATTAAGAAAATGAATGGATAAGCCACAGATTGGCAGAAAATCTTTGCAAAACATCCATCTGGTAAAGGACTGCAATCCAAAATATACAATAAACTCTTAAAACTCAACAATAAGAAAATAAACAACCAAATTAAAAAATGGGCCAAAGATCTGAGCAGACATTTCACTAAACAAGACAGATGGTAAATGAGTAAATGCTAAACATCACATGTCATTAGTGAACTGTAAATGAAAATAACAATGACATACCACTCACTACACACATATTAGAATGGCCAAAATCCAAAACACTGACAATACCAAGTGCTGGTGAGGATGTGGAGCATCAGGAACTCTCATTCACTGCTGGTGGGAATGCAAAATGGTGCAGCCACTTTGGAAGACAGTTTGGCAGTTTCTTACAAAACTAAGTATACTCTTCCACACGATGCAGCAACTGTGCTCCTCGATATTTACCCAAAGCAGCTGAAGGACTTATGTCCACACAAAAACCTGCACCTGGATGTTTATAGCAGCTTTATTCAAAAGTGCCAAAACTTGGAGGCAACCAAAATGTCCTTCAACAAGTAGATGGTTAAATAAATGGTCGTACATCCATATAAGGGAATTTTATCCAGTGATAAAAGGAAATGAGCTATCAAGCCACGAAAAGACACAGAGGAACCTTAAATGCACATTGCTAAGTGGAAGAAGCCAATCTGAAAAGGCTACATACTGTATGATTACAACTACATAACATTATGGAAAAGACAAAACTACAAAGACAGTAAAAAGATCAGTGGGTGCCAAAGATTTAGGAGAATGGAGGAAGAGACAAATAGGTACAGCACAGGAGATTTTTAGGGCAGTGAAACTAATCTGTATCAAACTGTATTATAAGGTGAACATTCAACATCTGTAAATGCCCACAGCATGTGCAACACAAACAGTGAATGTTAATGTAAACTATGAAGTTTGGTTAACAATAATGTGTCAGCATGTCTCTAAAAACTATAGTCTGTTATTTGAAAAAAATGAAGGCGCCAGGCACGGTAGCTCATGCCTGCAATCCCAGTACTTTGGGAGGCTGAAGCAGAAGGATTGCCTGAGGTCAGGAGTTCTAGACCAGCCTGGGCAACACAGCAAAAATTTTTTTAAAAAATTAGCCATACATGGCAGCATACACCTATAGTCCCAGCTAACGAGGAGCTCAAGGCGGGAGGACCTCTTGAGCCCAGGAGTTCAAGGTTACAGTGAGCTATGATCGGGCCAATGCACTCCAGCCTGGGTGACAGAGCGAGGCCCTGTCTCTAAAAAATCTATAAAAATAAAAATAAAGAGAGGTTATAGCCTAAAAATAGAAGAAAATATAAACAGATATATATCAAACATGAAACTGTTAATACCAGTTAGCTCTAAGGAGGTGTGTGTAGAGTGTGTATATATGTGGATGGGGATGGGTAGAGGGTTCATTTTTAGATAAAAATTGTGTTTTTTAAAATCCCACTTATGACAGAAATCATATATGATAGGCTATGGGTAGAAAGGACCAAATATTCTTATGCAAACAAACAAAAGAGCTAAAATCTAATTAGATCATCAGAACCTTATCTCCTCACACACTAATTACCCTTTCCCAAGATTCTAATTTCTAAAAAGAGCATCAGAGGTTTTCTGTTAGCTAAGCCAGAAACTTCAGACTTTTGTTTCTCCTGGGCCCAGTCCCTCATTAAGTATCACGAGGGAGTCCCTAGATTGTGCCCTCCCGCCCGCAGCCCCTGCCAACACAGCACATCAGCTCATACAAAGAATGAAAGAATAGCCTGTCCACCTAGGTCCCCCACCAACTATTTGCATGTTTCTCTGCTGCCTAAGGTGTCAAGGCCTTCTTGTCACCAATCTGAAGACCACATGCCTCTCGTCCCTCAATACAATTCAACAAATATTTAATTAGTGCCAACTGTGTACCATGACCACCTTCTATGCTCTTGTAGTTCTCTTTTAATCAAAACATAGCTCTGGTTATAACCATGTTATGTATTCTTCCATCTAACCAGATGTATTCATGTCTTGTAAGAAAAGTTGCAATGAATAAAAAAGCTCTCCTTTTCCAGCTATCAAAATCCTCTATCTTCCTCAAACCCTATCTGAAATCCACCTTCTCCATAAAACCATTGTGCTTCCCAAATATCACCGTTGACAATTTTTTGTTTCCCTGAAATTCCAAAGCACTTAAAACTAGTAGGACACAACCTAGCACTTGATCAAGTATCATCTTACAGTGTTTGAAAATATGCAAAGGATTTTTTCTATGAAGGTAAGAATATGGCTTATATATCATCCACAGCATGTAGCTCAGTGCTGGGCATGGAACACATAGTAATATTTATTGACTAAAGAGTTCTTTTCTTCTTTATTTTCATGTTTTCTAAGAATTCAAATTTCATCAACATGTAAAAGTACCAGAATTACTCAGAATGTAAGTGAAAATATCTTAGCACTTATACGTAAAACCTTAAAAAAAGGAACAGTGGAAACCCAGCCACTCAGTACACTGTTGGTAGATTTGTTAACACTAGTGAAATAAATGTGTCAGTTTGCATCTATGAAAGGGTGTGTAAACATCTAGTCCTTGACAGTCTAACAAAAGTTATTGGCAAAGCTCTGTATCTCTCCCTGAAAGTGGAAATAGGTATTGTGATGTGGAACTAACCCAGGAAAATTCCCTTCCACTGGGAAGCAAGCCAAGACCACATACTATTTTTACATGGGCTATTTATTAATAATTCAGTGGTGGTAAGCTTGAACTCATTGAGAATCAAATTCTCAGTCCCAAAAGATACTGGCTTCATACTGACTAGAAGATAAAACTGCCATTAACAATCCTGACTATTAATTATCCTACAATTAAGTAGCACCAGACTTGCATTTTAGAATGACAAACGAAACCTCAGCTAAATTAGATATATCATCAAATCGATACCAGTGTTACCTTAGTGGTATATGATTGCTGAGGAACATCTCAGCTGTGTTAATCAACTCTGCTGTGGTCTCATGTGCAGGATCAACTTTGAAAACCTGTGGGGGAAGGGAATGAACACATGAAATGACACTTATTCAAACGTCCCTGGGCCAACAGAAGCGCCACTAGTCTTTGTACATGAAGCCAACCTTTTTCCAGCTACTCTTGAACCACATAAAAGAAGAATTATACAAATAACAGTCACCTCCCTCTGTGTTCAAAGAATGTGGTACTGAAGGGCCAGGTGATTTTCTCATGGACTTACGCTGAAAACATGGGAACTATATTCCAGGTTACTGACACCTATTCTACCATACCAAACAAAAACAAGTTGTAGCAACTCTCCTGCCTTAGAAAATGGAGATTGCCTTTCTGCGTATTCATTTCTGAGGATCTCTGAATTAACAATTCATTTAGAATTCAATTCTTAGACCACAGTAATAGCTATCAGGAAAGCACACAAGCATTCGTTATGTGCTAAAGCAACTTACATACATATTCTCTCATTTAATAAAGTTCATACATACGATAAGAGAGAAAGAGGTTGAAATTTTCACTGGGAAGGAAAACAGTGGTTTCAAGAGAAAAGTGCAGAGGGCAGTTTCCCCTGCAGGTTCTGAGGAAGCCAACCTTGGCACTAACCTGCCCCTATCTCTTGCACAGCTGTGTGAGGGAAGGGAAAGAAGTGAGAAGGAAAGAAAGGGCCAACTAAGAACCTTCTTTCTCTTTCTCTCTCTCTAAAGCATTGAAAGAAGGAATAAGAAATAAGAGCTGACAAAAGACTTATTTAAAGGATTAAATTGAACTACTAAATTTTAGGGATTAAGATATTAAAGAAAAACAGTAGCAATATACACCTGAGGAAAAAGGAGAACTATTTTAAAGCTAAAACGACATTGCTAGGAACTTAAAACTGCTATAAAAAATATAAAGTCTTAAAATTTAAAACAAAGAAAACAACTAAAACCCAGTCTAACGCTTAGTGGTAAGGATGAAAAGCATTTGCTCATACGCCAGCCGGGGCGACGACGCCGCTGCTATATCTCACAGCCCTGCCAGGCGTCAGCACGTCCTAGAGCCCTTCTGTTTTAAACATACAGCATATTTGGTAGTGGCAGTGGTGGGGAGAAGCGGCTAGTAAAGGAGAGACGTGAACATTCTGCATATGACAAAAAGGTAGGGGAGAGGGCAAGGGAGAGACAGAGTTCATAGCCACATAATAAGAAATTTTACTTACCATGTTATGTAAGTTTTTCCTGATCTGCCGGATAACACCAGGAAAGGTGGGTCGAAGCAACTCCTGTAGACTAGAAGGCCACGAATTATATCTGTTGTCAACCTCCAGGTTGTTGACCCACTACAAAAAAAATAATATGACACGGTGCACACACACTTTAGTCACCAGTTAGTGAAATATGCAGTAATAACAATAAGACTTCAATTATTTTAAGAATCACATTTTCAAAGATACAAAGATCAAGTAGAAAAATGAGCGACTAAAAGACAAGCCACAGATTAGATGAAGGTATTTGCAACCTACAAAACCACTAAAGGACTAGTGCCAAGAATATGGATAGAAATCTAACATCAATAAAAAAGACAAGCAACCCATAGGAAATGGGTACAGGAAATGGAAATCGGTCAAGAATATGAATAAGAAATTTACAGAGGAAATCCAAATGAGTAATAGACATGAGTAAGACACACATCCTCAATTATAATCTAGGAACTCTGAACTAAAATCTCAATGATATTTCACACTCAATAGACTAAAAAAAATTTAAAGTTATCCAGGAGAGCTATAAGGTTCAACAACAAAGAAAAAAATTTAAAAGTTTGTTAATATCCAAGAATAGGCAAAGATATACAGCAGTGGGAATTCTCACCCAGTGCTGATGTCTGGAAAAATCAATATAGAGAACTGGACCTAATAAAGTTGAAGACTTCATTAGTACCCCACCACTAAGTATTATAGTTCTAGGTATCTAACCCAAATAAATTCTCACATGTATACACAAGGAGAAAGGTAAAAAGAGCCATTACAGCACTGCTTACAACAGCAAAAAATTAGAAACGACTCAATGTCCATAAAGAGAGCAATGGATAAATAAACAGTATGTACTCAGGGAAGGGTGGGAAGGTCTGTGTATATCTCCTTGCTCATGTATGCACAGTATACTTCTGGAAGAATATACAACTGATAATGCTTATTGCCTCTGCAGAGAAAAACTGGACTTTTTCACTACAAAGGTATATACTGCATCTTAAATTTTAAGCTATGAAACTATGATTTTTCAAATATGTAAATTATAACATATGATAAACTATATGTATCAACTTGCAAAAGTCTTCAGAAAACTGTTGAATAAAAAAGGAAGCTGAAGGATACTTGTAGGGCACTGGATTACCCAAATTTTTTAAATATTTAATAAGAAATAAAAGGATAAAATAGGGGACAAGAGGAATGTACATCAATTTCAGGAAAAGAATGACCTGTAGGAAGGAGAGAGGTGACTGGGAAGGGATATAAAGAGGCCTTCAACTGAAACTCTCTTCCCCCAAGAAACACGTTAATGTTATTCTCTTTACTCTTTAGAATCCAAAAACAGAAACAGAAAAACAAGATGACATTAACAAAGTATTCATCAAAATAACATTATAACACCAAATGAGAACTCAAGTAATGATCACCTACACTCTACCTTATTTTTCTTTCGATAAAATTTCTCTAAAATAAATGCAGTACAGAAACCAAGAAAAAAAAAGACTGGCATGCCCAGGCTGTTTTGGGCACATCAGCTCTACCCTCAATCTCATCTTCACCACGTCCACTCGAGATGGCACTATTCCCGACATTCTCTTCGGGAGATGACAAGATGAAGCCTCAGAGAGATCACACATAAATCCTTCGAATCTCGAATCTCAAAGTCCTACCGAAAGTTATTAACTTAAAAGTGACTATTTTTAATAGTTGCTCTAATTTACAAATATTGTCACAAAATCACATAAGATCTATACTCAACTGGGAAAATACAAACTTTACTAAAAATTCTTTACCAAGATACGCTCAGATGAATCCTAGGGGTATACTAAAGTGGAAAAAATCACTGTCTTAACCACATTAGCCACAATAACTCAACTTTTTGGAGCATTTAAGAGCCTATTTTATTATATACACAAATATATAATAAGCAGTTGTAAATCACTGACATCAACAAAATAGTTAGTGGGAAGAATTTAACTTTCATAAAAGATAGATTAGAAAACCATAATAAAGATATCTAGCCAGAATGTCCTTTAATCACCCTAAAAAAATACTCACTGAAATAGCAGGACTCCTGATGTCTACCGCATAGTCGGCCTCAGACGGCTGGATGTTCAGCTTCAAAACATTATGCAGAGAAAGGCCTTCTATTCCCAACCTATGCAGACCCTCCATTACCCGAGCTTCACTTCTCAACACATCAAAGAGACTGAAAAAAATAGATATTTAGTGGGAAAAACACTTTGAGATTGCCCTCAACAGAATTCCTTCGCCCTGCCCATAACTCATTTACCAGAAAAAAACTCTTAAAAACTCCTCACCATGAAAAAAATTTATCAGTTCAACCTCAATGCCAAATCAGAAATCAAAAAACAGGAAGCTCTTTCCCGTTTCATCTTGTCAAAGTATGCAGAAGAAATTAGGTAAGACTTGTTTCTTCACCCATATTTATCTATATTTATCAATGTACACATAAATTATCTCAAAGTATAAATGCACAATTTGAGAATGAAGTAATCCTAAATCTATACTTTACACTGCATATTTTTACATACATTAATCTCTCTGTATTATTTCTTACAACTGCATATGAATCTACAATTATCTAAAAATAAAGTTTAAAAAACACATCACGAAAAACAGATACTACATTATGTATGTTTAATATAAGTTTCAATATCAGTATCAACTTACACAGGCACACATATGACTACAGAAAAGAATTCGCACCCTTAGAGGTTTGCTGGGGGAGGCAGAAAAGACGGGGAGGAACACGAAAAAAAAAAAAAAAGGACAAAAACTTTACTTTTAGTTACTTTATCTCTGTTATTATTTGAAGTTATGTACATAAGCAAGTATTTAGTTTGTAATACTCTGGAAAATTACATGTCTATGTATTGTTTAAATAAATCACTCAACAAAAATACATATGGGCAATCTTTTTCTCTTTAATTAAATGAACCCCGTATCCACTGGATGTGCAATCTTTTAAGGATCCACAACTATTTTACTAACTTATCACTAGCCCTATAAAGCAATATATAGACATAAAAGCTTAATTAAAATAATTAATGTGAAAAATCTCTTACAGTGGGAACTGCTGCTTCTGACACATTACCATTAACTTTTTTTTTTTTTTTTTTTTTGATACAGAGTCTCACTGTGTTGCCTGGGCTAGAGTGCCGTGGCGTCATCTTAGCTCACAGCAACCTCAAACTCCTGGGCTCAAGCGATTCTCCTGCCTCAGCCTCCCAGGTAGCTGGGACTACAGGCATGCGCCATCATGCCCGGCTAGTTTTTTCTATATATTTTTAGTTGTCCAATTAATTTCTTTCTATTTTTAGTAGAGACGGGGTCTCGCTCTTGCTCAGGCTGGTTTCGAACTCCTGAGCTCAAACAATCCGTCCGCCTCGGCCTCCCAGAGTGCTAGGATTACAGGCGTGAGCGACCACGCCCGGCCCTACCATTAACTTTTGTTTTTACTATTAATATTATGAATCCATAGTGTCAACTGTGTCAACTTTAATTCCAAGAATAAAATCTGAATTCTTCCTAACTGTCCACAACCCCTCCCCCACTTAAATCATGGAGACAAACAGAGCAAATTAATCCTGAACCACATTTTAACAAAAAGTATTCAAATAATATATGTAGACTGGATGCCTTCTGAAACACTCAGAGTACTCTGAATAAACCTACTTCACACTGCACCAAAAGCCAAAGAACCTTTTCTTTTCTATGTTTCTACGGTTAACTGGAAAACTTTAGCTCTAAAAGGGAATCCCTGAAAACATTAAGGCTTTGATTGTCCACTGCGATACAAAACGGCAACATTCACAGTGCTCACCAGGCATAGCACGAGCCCACCACCATCATCCGCTCAGTGGGCCTGAGAAGTCCTCAGGCTTTGCATCATACCACATCAATGAGGAATGACAATCTGAACATGGCAGAAGGAGCTACACATTATAAAAAGTATTCCAAGAACAGAAAACATTATCCATACCTGAATATATCCTGTGTATCTAAATCAATGTGAAGTCCATTGATGAAGAGAGCTGAATCTCCAGGCTGTAAGCCTAAAGTTCCCTTGAAATACTAAAGAATTATAAAAATTATTAGGGAGCAGTGAGAGAATGTTTAACAAAAATTTCAGTGTTTCTGGGCTTTATTACTTGTACACATCTTGACATCCTATGGCAGGGTTAAGATTTTCTTCTATATACTCCCGCAGACCCTTCTTAGCAGTTACTACCCTGATTGAAACTTTGGGTTTATGAGACATACACCTCTCCTTTTTCTCCCTCCCTCCCTCATTCAGATGTTGATTAATACAACTGTTTTGTATAA